AAAATAAATAAATAAAATAAAATAAAAAGTTAAAAATTGCTTTTATCACAATATAATGGGTCATGTTTTATGCAAGTCATGACCAAATTACCTATTGCTCACCAGCAAAGAAGCCTTTAAGATAAGAAAGCTCTTTGGATCCTTCTAATGCTCCCACTATAGGCCTGATCTAAATTGCTCACACCTCTCCAATCAGACTGAAGGGCTCACTGGAGAGGAAGTGTCCCTAAAAACAGAGAACACTGTCCCAGAACAAGTCTAGTAAGTTCAGGCCCTATTCTTAGGCTCAATATTTAATAAACAACCACATGCTGCAATTCCAAGTAGAATTAGGGGGGAAAATTACTTGCAAAAAATACATTATACCACTAAATACAAATCAATCCACACCCTAATTTCCCCGTTGGTAGTTCTAGCTAGAACAGTTGTCCCCACCTCCTTACAATCTCCCCACCAGGCTATATCAATGCTCTATTGGAAACCTTGGAGGCAGCTGCACTTTTTAGGCAGAGCAATCTCTATTTCAACTTTGTGTGGCATTTAACCCCTCTGAGGGAGAACATGAAAGAATATTTGTAGTTATTCACATCCTGATTACCTACACAGTTCATTCCTTTAGGCAAGTTAGTTCCTTGTTACTATTATTCTAAATTACCCATAAAAACTAAGGTCGGTTCTTAAACTCATTAACTTCCCAATACAAGTCCTGAACAAAATCTCAAAGTTTCACAGCTGAAGCAGTGATAAAAAAAATACACATGATAGTCAAACATACTTTCTTTTAAACACTGATGTTCAAAACTATCATCCCAAGCTCTTTATGTTTTTATTAACAAATGTAAAAACTACTCACATCCCACCAGGGCCAAAAGAACACCTCCCTGCTGCTGCTCTAATATGCTCTATGTAAGCAGTTCCTCTCCCCTAGAAAATGGCTACATTTAAGGTTTTCAGTGGTTGAAACTAACAGCTGCCCATATTATGAAATGAACTGATTAGAATCCTTACTTTTAACACTATTCTTTGGACTGTTTGCCAAGAGAGAAAAAAGGATTAAAGAAATGCTAATGCTTAAAAGCTTCCATTGGGCCGGCCTGTGGCTCACTAGGTGCTGATAACACCAAGGCCCCGGGTTCGGATCCCATATAGGGATGGCCGGTTCACTCACTGGCTGAGCGTGGTGCTGACAACACCAAGTCAAGGGTTAAGATCCCCTTACCGGTCATCTTTTAAAAAAAAAAAAAGCTTCCATTATTTCCAGAAACTGTGCTTAAAAATGGAAAAGGGAGGGCTGGCCGTGGCTCACTCTGGAGAGTGCGGTGCTGATAACACCAAGGCCATGGGTTCGGATCTTATATAGGGATGGCCGGTTAGCTCACTGGCTGAGCGTGGTGCTGACAACACCAAGCCAAGGGTTAAGATCCCCTTACCACTCATCTTTAAAAAAAAAAAAAAAAATGGAAAAAGGGAAGTTCAGATCCCTGTACTGGCCAGCACCCCCAAAATAAATAAACAAACAAATAAATAAATAGACCAAACAGGAGGAAAATGGAAAGGTGGAGATACGCAAAAGGTTGAAACTACAGACTATAGTAAAACTTTCAAAATAACATTGCAATGTTATTAATTTATATTGTCTTGCTTCCTATCTCAACTTCCTTTCGAGCTTTCCCCACAACAGTCCCTCACTGACTCCCATCAAGTGCCTTATGTAACCAAGGCTTACTGAGCACCTCAGTATGTACCTGACATTAAGACAGGTGATAAAAGGATACAGAGATAAGACACTACCTACATGAAAGCAGCTCACAGTCTAGAGGGAAAGACAAAAATACACAATTTTAATACAGTGTAATAAATACATTATTTGAACTACCTCCTATAAGCCTCTCCTTGCAAGTTGATATTACCAATTCTAACTGCATACCTGAAAATTCTCTTAAAGTAGAAAATTCACTGACAAACTAAATTTGAGACAATTCTAAGAAATTTAAGAAATTAGGACAGCAATGGCGCACATAAGAAAAGATCACTATTCTAAAGATTAAAATAATATCCACTCTAGCCTATCCAGTTCCCCATAGGCTCTAAGGAAAATGGATCTTTTACATACATTATTACAACATGGGTGGTGGGGGATGGGAGGGGGTTAGAAATCTGAGTACTGACCCTGCACAAGATGAAACACTCCTGCCTCTATCAGGGCTCATTTTAGTTCTAGCTGTTGTTTCCATTCTCTCTGGAGAACGGCAGTGTGTTGGTGGTTAAGTGCATGGACTTTGTAATTAGTCAGACCAGGGTTAATCCTGGCCTCCATCACTCACAGGAAGTGAGATTTTCTGCAAACCTCAGCTTCTCTGAGGCTCAAATTCCTTACACACACACAAAAAAAGGTATTGTGGGAAATTAAGTAGTTTATGCAAAATGCTTAACACAGTTTAAAACAACAACAACAACAACACACATAACAAGGGCAGTAGGGCCTGGCAGTTACTAAAAGGGGACCATCAGGTACCAAAATAGAAAGCAATAAATTATAGGTACAGAGCTAATCATTTTGTTGTTTCAATTGATAGCGATCTATGCTTAATTTATTTGCATCCATCCTATCACCCATCCCTAGAGAGCAACTACTTCATAAACCTAAGGCTGGATTGTAATTACTTGGAGCTTTCCTTTTTTTTAAGGTCTCCAATAGTCCCAATTTTAAGACTAGCTGAGAGAACATTTCTAGCCTCTCTGTCCATACTGGAACCCTAAGGAAGGTACTACTAGAACTCTAACCACCCAAAAGAGACTCACTACCTGGAACACAGACAACTACCTTACTCACATAACAAAGAAACCAACACTGTATAGGAAGCAAACAAGGAAAGAAAAATCTGCACAACTTACACTTACTTGTCATCATTTTTTACCCCAAAATCAAAATGAGGAGCAAAACACAAAATCAAAAAATAAAAAGATTTACTTATCCGCAACCCTTGCTACAATTCCTGAAAGAACCAGTGGAGGTGAGGTAAAAGACAAATCTTCCATCTTATCACCCAAAAGATACACCAGTCAAAACAATGCCTTAGGTTTGTGGAAATAGTTCTGGACACTAGTTAACTAGGATGCTCACTGCAGTGACACAAAGCCCAGTATTTAAAGCCGGACCCAAATCACCACCACTCAGTCATCCAGAACCTATTTTCAAACTGCCTTTGTACTCATTCAGATTCCCTCAATCTCTCCCCCTAAAGGTTGAGTGGGAAACCGACACTCTGGCAGCAACATGACAACCCTCCAAAGATCCACCAAGAAATCTCCCTAGGATGAAATCAAGGCAGAGAGAACATTTGAAAGAAAATTTGGAAAATATTAAACAAGAACTAGAGCCCAACAGACTTTACACGTTGTCTTTTTTCTTTCTTTTTAACTGTATATGTTATAATTACAAAATCCAGACATCAAAAATTCCCTGTAGCCCCTGCCTAGATTATATACTAAAAGGAAGAATAAAGTTCTGTTTCCTCCTCAAACAGAATGGATGAAATCACCTTTCAAGAAATACCCTCGTTCTCAAAAAGAAATTCAAGTTAGTGTTCTAGTCTTAAAAAGTATGGCGGTAGAGGGGGAAAGATAAAAATTAGAGATTATTAAAGAGACATAGCAGTTTAAGCTAATGAGCAGTTTACACTTTAAGGCTCATCTTCTTACAATTAGAGCAGTATCTATTCCAGCTATAATTTGCAGACTGATTCGCATTTTCAAGTGCAGAAGGAAGAGCACACCCAGTTTTCAGTTACTGATGAGTTGGCTATATAATTATCTAGAATCATTACTTTTGCAAGAATGTATTCACAAAAAAAAAAAAAAAAAAACCTTGAAAAAAGATTAAATATAAGATATGAAAGTATGGTCATGGGAATTCAGCTCTAACAGATTTGATTTCATGGTAAATTAACCAAACAAAAAATTCGCCTCCAGAAAAACGACTTTCAGGTTGGCTTAAAAATAAAAAATTCCCCTCGTGTCTTCTCAAATCAAATGTATTCTTAACACTAAAGTTTGTATAACTGGTTTCTCTTAGCCTAACCTTATTCCTCCGATGGCCCTTGCAGAAAGCACGAAGTTGAAAATATTTTCAGGTGTGTTGCCACTTTACTTAGGTGAAATAAAAGGAATGATTAGAACTTCCTTATTCCTTTAAGCACGTAAACCAAACGTTATCACATTTGCAGATTTAACACACAACACCTCTACAAATCTTCGTCATCAAAGGTAGTTTTAGGAGGAAGAAGGGAATGGCAATTCAGTTAACATGAATCCATTTGTTTTCTTTCCTAAGGCAAAGCAGGGAGGATATGTCTAGCAGGAGAATGAGGCTCCCACCCACCGCACCTGGAAAAGTAAAAAAGGGATCCACCCAGGAACAGCAGGGCCGAAACCGATCTGGGCTGTTCAAACTCTCTGGGGGAGAAAAGCAATACCGTTTAAGCTGCAAAGCTCCCTGCAACTTTTCAATTCTACAAGTCCAATGATAAAAGGAAAAAAAAGTTTTGAAACATATGAGGAACCATCTGTATAACTAGCTCCCGACCCGGACAAATTCCTTTCCCAACCCACACGCAACATGCCAAAAAACCAACTTTTCACTTGGGCTCTGAAAACAGAAGTATGTTAGCTTAATCCAGAAAAAACATAAAATCAAGGAACACACCAAAATGTAAATTTACACAACTGTTCTTACCCTTTTGTATCTATTCATCTCACTGTATTAGAGAGACCTAGAAGTTTGTTTCTAGGTCTTGTATATGTTACCTTTTTTAAAAACAACGAAATATCAAAATCTCCCCAAAGTACTGAATGTGGAAAGAAAAAATAATAATTGCTTAAAAGTCACCTATCAGCATAACAGACTATCTCCCGTTTTTAAATTCCCTCTGGTTACCATAAGACAAAAATTCCACTTGGCTTGCCCGTCTGTACACACATTTTTTTAAAAAGGCACAAACCTCAAATGTGGACTTCTAAAAACCAGTCCTTTAAGAAAGAAACCCAAGCCTTCGCCAATATGCTGAGAAAGACAAATCCAGCAAGGTAGTTGATTTTTCGCCACCTCTTCCTCCTTTCAGGATCTTTCCTGCTCTTCTTTCTCTCTCCCTCTCTCTCTTTTTTTTTTCCCCTCAGATCCAACACCTAAAATGGAAGTTGCACCCAGCCAAAGGCAAGGGAGCCTGGGTGGTGACAAACTGATCGGGCAGCCCTACCCCCTCGCTTTCCTAAGTGATGTCAGCCCCTGTGAGCTTCCAATAGGAGCCAGGCATAAATCAGGGAGCTGACCTTATCCAATAGGAAACTTTATTATAGGAAATTAAAAAAAAGAGAGGAGGAGAGAAAGAGACAGGGGGAAGTTTTATATATATATTTATATTTAAAGCGGAGACTATACAATCTCTGAGGAATTACTGCAGAGTTTGGGGGGGCTGGGGGCAAAGGAACAAGAGCTTTTCAGAAAGGCACACCTAAGCCTCAGTAGTCTGTGATGGCGGGTTCTTGCTCCCTCTCCTGTCCTGTCCAAGTGGGGAAACAGAAAAGAGCTGATTTTATTTGCCTGCTGCTGTTTGTTTTGTTGCCTTCCATCCCAGAGAATTTTCCCAAAGGAAGACAGGAAAGGAAAGAGAAAGAAATCCTAGAAACAAGACTACTGTGTGTTGATTGGGATGGTAGGGAATATCTGAGGTAAACTCTCAATTTCATTGTTTTGGTTTAATTGCATTAGTGTTAATTAGGGAAAATAAAAGCCTAGACTTGTTAACAGTTTTTAGTCTCTATACTCTGAACTAGAAGAAAGTAAAATCCACTTGGCTGTTAAGGAAAATCACTGTCTTCCCCAAATCAAAATAATGTGGGTTTGTGGGGGAGAGTAAAAGGAATCCAATAAACAAACAATATATTTAGAGGGGATAACAGCATGGGTAAAGAAAATTGTCTCATATGAAGAAAATCTGATTTCTGGGCTGGCCGATTAACTCAGTTGGTTAGAGTGTGGTGCTGATAACACCAGGGTCAGGATTTGATCCCTGTACTGGCCAGCTGCTTTAAAAAAAAAAAAAAAAAAAAAAAAAAATGAAATTTCAAGCTTAAAATGATGTAGTTCATACATTCTCTTTCTACACTTGACTTAAGAAAAGGATCATAGGGGTAATCTTTTTCTGAATTAAGAAATACCTTTAATATGTTCTTAGACTATTAAGACTATGAAGGACAGGGGCTGGATTTTTATTTTTTTTAACATGCTTGACAAAGACTAGTGTTTTATGGTTATTCACAAAGATTATAATGATGAATTGAAGATCTCTTTTTTCTTTCTTACTGAAAAATCTAAAATCTGTCCTGTAGATTACTGCCAAATGAATCTTCATAAAGTTTTCATAGTCTTACAATAGTGATTAAGAGCATAGGTTCTGCAGTCAGACTACCTGGCTTCAAACTCCGTCTCTGTAAGTACATTTAGTCAAGTATATGTGCTACTATGTGACCTTAGCCAAATTATACAAACCTCTGAGCCTCAGTTTCTTTAACTATAAAATGAAGATAATAACCATATCTCTCTCACAAGACTTGTGAGAATTAAAATAACACAAAGTTTTTAAAACATTGAATGGCATATAGTATAAGCTCACTAAGAATGAATTATGATTATGATTATGATTATGATTATGATTATTATTACCAGTGTCTACTCTGCCCAAAAACCTTCAATGGCTCACCACTGCTCAATAATAGCAACCAATGACAGAGTGTCTACTGTGTAAGAGGCACTTTGATTTTCTAATTTCTAAAACACCAACATGGGCTGGCCAGTCAGCTCACTTGGTTACAGCATTATGCTGATAACACCAAAGTCAAGGGTTTGGATCCCTCTACTGGCCAGCTGCAAAGAAATAGTATTACCACCATGTTACAGATGTGGAAATCAAGGCTCAGCAAGGTGAAGAAACTTGCCTGAGCTCATCTGGCTAAGAAGTGAACACATCAATCTGACTCCAAAGTCCATGCTCTTTCCATCACCTTCAACCATGGTCAGGATAAAGATCAAATTCCTCATCTGCTTTCAAGGTACCATATTTATTCACTCAATACATTAAAGTAACACTTATTAACCATAATCTGACTTTCCCTTACCTATCTATACTGGAATTCCACTCCTCCTAGGCATGAATGAGCCTTTTTATCAGGCTGATCTAGTCATTATCCACCCCCTCATATTTGGTCTATAGTTGCATAGATCCTCATATTTGGTCTATAATGGCCAAAAGGGACTTCTCTCAGAAGTGCTGGAAGACCAAACAGACATTATAGCACTTCAAACAAACTAGGATGGAAATGAAAACATTATAACAAAGATATGAACAGCCTTTAAGCATCATTATCTAAGAATCATCTTCCATTACGTTATCACATCTTCTACCTCCACTCTCCATCTATTCCTGGTCTTCCATAGCAAGTTCAAAAGCCAAAGATATTTGTCAAAGGAAAACAATCAGCACAGGAAGTGTTTGTTGATTTACTGGTCCCTACATCAAAGCCATATTCTAGAATGTTTTACAATTTTCTAGAGATGGATTGATTTTGTTTCCTTCACAACACTACTCACAAATTGCAAATATTATGCCTTCCTTTTTCTTTTGTCTTTGTTTGCATGTGTGTATTTCTGTCTCTCCCACCAGAAGATAAGTTCCACGAAGGCATGAACGGTGTCTTTCTTGCTCATACTGTAACCACAGAGCTCAGCCTTATATCTCATATTTAGCAACAGCTAAATGAGTGAATGAAGTCTCTTTGCTAGTAGTTATGTAATCCTGGACAAGCCATTTAACATTAATGAATTTGTAGATAACATTCAAACAGAACTATATACAAATCAAAAAAGATAACTCAGTGATGAAAAAGATGTTAAAATTTAAATTTATATGAAACGGCTATCTCTAACTAATGCATCACAAGCCTTAATACCCATTGAGGGGAAAACTGCATTCGTATAACAGAAAATAAAAAGACTAGTTCCACTTAGTTATTCTGAGCACCTGTTGGGAGCCAGTACTCTACTAGACGTGAAACATAAGATACACAAGTTTCCTGTTCTCATAAAGCTTACATTCTAGGGGAGAAGGAGAAGAGTAATGAATAAGATAATGTCAGATGGAACACTATGCAGATTTTAGAAAGATTTATGAGAATGACTTGTGGCTTGCTCTAAGGTTGGATGTCAGGGACAATCTCTGGAGAGATAATATTTAAGTTGAAATATGAATGGTAAGAAGCAGCCTACTATGAGAAGATATGAGCAGTGGTAATTGCTAATGCCAAAGACCTGAAGTGTGGAGCTGAAACATACCGGACCCAGAAGAAGGGTTGGAAATGAGGATGGAGAAATAAATGAGAATCAGAAGATGAAGGGTTCTATAGGTCACAAAAAGGAGTTTGGATTTTTATTCTTAGGTAGAGGAAAGCATTTGGGGGTTTTAAACAGAAGAATAACATGATCTAAATCACATTTTGAAAAGATCTGGTAAATGGATTTATGCAACAAATGGATTAAAGAGGGGGCATGAGTGAAAGCAAGATAAGTTTGAGGGCTATTGCACTGTTCAAGTTGCAGTGATAGGGATTTGGATAAGAGTAGCAGTAGAAATGGAGAGAAGTCAATGGATTGAAGATATGTTTTAGACATACAGAACTGTTTTTTCTATTCTTTTTTTGTTTTGTTATGAGCATACAAACACAGAAAAATAAGACACCATAAAATGTAGAAAGATTAGGGAAGAGCTGAGAGAGAAAAAAAAGATTGTGTTTAAACAAGAAATATTAAAATTATTATATAGGACAGAGTGCTGTACTGTGATGATTCTAGTTCTAAAATAGGCAAAAACTACAAATGCCAAGGAGGATAGCTGATAACACCACGGTGCAGGGTTTGATCCCTGTACCAACCATCCACCAAAACCAAAAAAATGCCAACAAGAACAAAATTTAACTCCAAAAAAACCCCACAAACTTTGGATGGTAACGTGTAGCCACTAGAGGGTAGAAAAGAGTAAAAATATTTTTTCTTTATACTGGTTGGCCAGCTGCCAAAAAAAAAGCCAAGGAGAAGAAAAGAAAAAATTCAATTCCCAAAAAACACTGGCCAGCCAGTAGTACGAAGAAAACAAAGTATTTTTACTCCTTTCTACCCTCTAGTGGCTACACGTTACCATCCAAAGTCTGTCATTTTTGAAGCCCTGGCTGGGTAGGATACCATTTATCATTTTAGAAATTCTACTAACTCAAGATTTAACTAAAATGGTGCTGGGTTTAAAAACAAAACAAAACAAAAAAACAAGAAGTAAGCCCTCTCTACTTCTTGAAAATTAGTTTAATCCTGATGGCAATATATTAATGAGGGGATATAATATTTATATTTTCCTTACACCTCCACAGAATCATCTGTACTGTTACTCCACCAGCCCAATCAAGTCTTGATTCGACAGTAACAGATGCCATAAACAAGCATGTTCGGCGTTCTCTTTTGTTTTCCGTGCGTGCTTGCTTGCTTGCTTGCTTGCTTTTGTGTGTGTGTATGCTGCTGCTGCTGACAACATCTAAAATCTGTCCTCCTTCTGCTAAGTTTTATGTCTTTTCACGAATTGCTTCCTCTTCAAAATATGACAACTGCAACCGAAAATGTCTTCTGTTCCTCGTTTCTTTTTCCATCTTAAGAACAGAGGCTTCAAACTAGAGAAAATATTGCCTGACTCGGAAATGCACTCCCTGCACCACCGTTTCAGTCAACCACCTCAAATCCTTTCTGAAAAGCTGTTAGATATCAATAATGACATATTTTAGCACACTACACTACTCACACCTCCACGTTTTGTCCCTTTGCACTTCCCCTTCTTTTAGGCATCTTCCTTACCTACAGTTGGCTTCAGCGGGAGCTGCTCTGTTTCCATTCACCACATTTTGTCACCTAGTGTGACTTTGGACTCAGCCATTTTCGCCCAGAGCTGGACATCACCAGACATCTACCATGGGGCAGTAACCGAAGCCAGGGACTGGGTCTTAACGCACACAGGGGACCCCTGTCCAGATTTATAACGTGGGTTGGCGTTCTCTGTAAATGTTTAATCTCGAGATCATTTAATTTTTAGTATCATCCCTGAAAACAGCCGTTTCCAGTCAGGAACTGTGCTAAATAGTCTCTGGAAGGACACAGGATCCACTCCGGGGGCATTTGTGCAATCCCCTTGGATCACCAGTTCTCCGAGATTTGGGGCTGGGGTGGAAGCAGTGAAAAAACTGAATTCATAAACTAGCCCAGTGACTTTGTTCCTGAACATCTCTGGTCTTGGGAGATATCTAGATTACAGAGGTGGGGGACAAGATACGAGTAGAGCCACCCCAGGGTTTTTTCCTCCATGAAGTCTGGAGCAGTCTTAGCAGCACCAAGGCCATCTGCAGCCTCTTCCAGGGGAAGATGGACGTGTCCTTCAAATGCCTTGGAACCCGCCCTATTACCGTCTCTGGACCCTCTTTTCGGTGTGTTTTCATCGAGTGCCAGGGAAGAAGACGGCTTCCATAAGCATCCCTCCCTCACGGGCCCTCCCGCCTACCTCTCACAGCTCAGCCATCTTCCCTCAGTCCTCAAGTCCCTCGAGACTTAGCCTCCCGCCCAAAACTCTCCTCCTCCTCTGATTGGTTCTCCCAGGAGCCTCCGGCCAATGGGGATGACGTATTCAGGCAGACGTAGGCCCGAGGGCTAGGGGAGGAGGAAGGACTTCGGGCAGACTTAAGGCGGCTCGCGGTGTGTGGCGAGGACGCGTGGCTTCAGGCCCTCGCTGCCGCCACCGCCCCGTGCATGTGAGTGCCGGGCCCCGCGGCAGGACTCGAGCGCCAGGGGGTAACTGCAAAGCCGGTGCAGCGGGAGGTGGCCGTGAGGGTGAACCCTGAACTTGGGCCTCCGGGATCCCCACGCTCCATTCCCAGAAACCTTCGCGCTGAGAGGTCTCTCTTCAAAGGAGTTGGGCCGGGGCGCCCGGACGCTCGTGCGAGGCCCCCAGCTTTGCAGGGCCCTCCCTGAAGCCCTCCTTTCACCACCAGCCCCGATTCCTTTGTTTCTGGACAAGGAGCGGAACTGCCCAGGCCGTTGGCCCACCTGCGCTGCTTTGCTCAATCTCTCAGCACGAAGCTGGACATTGCGAGGAAGCAAAGCAGGCTGGACAGAGGACTTAGGTGCAGAGGACACCAGGAGCAATCCTACTGCAAAGCTCTTCCAGGTTGGGTCTGGGGGCAACGCCAGGCACTGGTGGATTGGGAAACTTCCCCAGGGCCCTTGCAACAGCTGCCGTCCGTTCTCTACTCACCTCTGGCTGGGATCAGGATGGAGCCTGCCCTTTCTTAATTTGTCTTTCCACTCTTTTCTTTCCAGATAGTTTTGACGTGAGCTATTCGGACCCTCGGTGCCACCTAACAGAAAACTGCATGCCAGGAAAGGAACACAACTGTGCAGTGAGTGTGGGGGTTTCAGTGCAAAAAAGCTGGAAATGAAGTAGGCCCGAAGTCATAATATCCAGTTCCTTTTGGAAGGGGTGGGATGCTTAACTATCCTTGCTCCATTGTTAGCCCAGTAATTGACCAGACAGGCAAACTTAAAGACTAGATTCTTTGCCAAGTCAGGATTGCTTTGGTCAAGTATATCTGAACCAAGGGTGTCAGTGTCCTATGTCTGTAAGAGAGACCTTCCCACCAAGTCCAGAGGCTTCTCTTCTTTATTGTGCACCCTCTGCTGGTTAGTGTGATAGAGTGAACTCAACGAAAAGAAGGGGCACACACCTTCCTAGAGATGATTTTATACCCACTATTGTTCTTCAAAAGTGTTAAGTTTAGGGGGCTGGCCGGTTAGCTCAGTTGGTAAGTAAGAGCCTGGTGCTGATAACATTAAGATCGAGGGTTCGGATCCCTATACAGGCCAGCCACAAACAAAACAAACAAAAAACCCTGAATATGCCCAATCTCAGAAGCTAAGCAGAGTTGGGGCTGGTTAGTACCTGGATGGGAGATCACATGGGAATACCAGGTGCTGTAGGCTTACAAAAAAAAAAGAAAGGTGTTGAGGAATTATACCCATGGAACTAGGATGCGGTGCCCAGGAAGAATATGAGTAGTTAGCATTTGTAGGAGTTGAGTCTCAGTGGTATGAGAATGAGGAAGATTAAATAATAATAACAGTAGGTCCAGGGCTGGCCAGTTAGCTAAGCTAGTTAGAGCATGATATTATAACACCAAGATCAAGGATTCGGATCCCTGTACAGGCCAGCTGCCAAAAAAAAGTAGCTACGATTTGGGGGATGATAGTTATTTTGTGGCAGGCATGCACTGTGCTAAGCAATTTTATCTGTATTGACTCATTTAATCTTTAAATTAGCCCTACAAGGTAAGTGCTATTATCATGCCCATTTTATGGATGAGAAAGGTGAGACTCAGAGAAAGGTCACCTACTTGAGATTATATAGCTAGGCTAATAAAAGAGCCAGGAGTCAAACCTAGGCTTATCTCTGAGCTCCCACATGTAACCACAATGATGATATTTATTGTTTTTTTTTTTTTTTGAGATACCCTTGGTACAACTTCTGGGCTGATGTTTCCTAAACTCATACTATTATCTGTCACTTTCAGAATTTCCCTGATATTTCAAAGACAAAAAACAAATTAGGTACAACCATGCCTCTGAAATGTATTATCTCACCTACAGGAATCTGATCTGTGAAAACCTAGAAGGTTTGTTAAGAGACTACCAAAATGTGCTCTCCTGCCAGTCCCAAAATCCTATACAGGAATCCCCGATTCCTCCAGTTAGCTTTTCTGCAGCTTCATCACCAGCAACAGAGTGGTGTGTTCTGTGATGTCATCCTGCAGGCAGAAGGTAAGAAACTAGTGGGGATTCAACTGAAAACTCACCATAGAATAAAAGAAAATGAGTTTAGGGCCCAGGCAAGAAGGACAAAACCAGGAAAATGTTATCTTTGAGCACTGTAAACTATTTGGTAAAAAGCTGTTTGTTTCTAGGACAGTTACTATTTTCAAGAGTGAAATTGTAACTGTGCTTGTTTTCCTTTAAAAATGAAACTAATTGTACAGTTTTGTAAGCACAGAAATTCTATAAAATATAGATAACATTATCCTAATGGATAGTTGTGAAAATTAAGAGTTAACATACGAGTATGTTAAGCACTTAGAACGGTACTTTTAATATACTAACTACAACATATGTATAAGATGATACTATTACGTATTTTCCCATTTTTTTACCAAGCTGTTGCTTAATTTAGTTTTTTTTTTCTTATCTTCAGATTGGTGATTTTTGCTATTTGTTGTCAGAACTAAAAATGTATGGCTTATTTCCACCTCTTCATATTGGAAATGTTAAATTAGCATTAAGTAGATCCTGGTATAGTATAAAAGGCCCAAGATTAGGAATTAGAGGCCCTGAGTTTAAGTCCTGCCTTCATTACTTAGTAACTAAGCACCAAACGGGCAAGTAACTTCATCTCTCTGGGTCTAAGTTTCATTTATAAAAAAGGATTATGACAACCTGTACTGTGTAGCACTCTACTGTTTGTGCAGTACATACAGCATAGTGTCTCATTTAATTCTAACAGCCTTGTAAGGTAAGTAATGTTGTATGGTTCCAATTCTACAGATGAGTGAATTGAGGTTTAGAATTAGTGACTTGTCTGTTGGTTCTCTCAGTGAATGTGGAGCTGAGAGTCATTCTTTAATTTAAAATAAACAAAAAAAGTATCAATTGTCTGTTGTATGCTAAACACTGTGCTAGCTTGAGCGTCCAATGTAAATTGAGATAAAGTCCCTCCTCTTAAGGAAATTATGTAAGGGGGACACATTCAAATAACCAGTGCATTCAAGTAACTGCGTAGTATGTTAAAAATATAATTGGATAAGTATAGGCTGACATAGGAGCACAAAAGAGGAGCATCCTTCAGATTTGGGGAGGATTGAGAAAGAGGGTTAGTGATTTTCCTTGGAGGAAATAACCCCTTAGGTGAGATCTGAAGGACAAAGAGAAGTAGGAGGAAATAGGGAAAGGTTTTTTTCAGGCAGAGAGAACAACAGGTACAGAGGTTCAGAGATGTGCCCAGGGATTTGTGAGTGGTTCATTATGACTAGACTTTAAGAAGTGCATTGACCAGAGATGGATACGGAAATTAGCAATCACTTTAGATCTGAAGTTTCATGGAAAGGAAGTAGGTTTTGTCCTCAGGACACTGTGAAACACTGAACAGTTTTAATCAGGAAGTCATGATCACATAGCTGCTTTAGAAACAACATTCAGGGGCTGGCCCAGTGGTGCACTGGAGAGTGCGCCGCTTGGGAGCGCGGCGGCGCTCCCGCCGAGGGTTCGGATCCCATGTGGAGACCGGTTCCCGCTCACTGGCTGAGCGCGGTGCGGGCGCAACACGGAGGGTTGCGATCCCGTTGCCGGTCAGTAAAAAAAAGACAAAAAAAGGAAAAAAAAAAAAAAAAAGAAAAGAAACAACATTCAGAGGGCCAGTCTGTGGCTTACTGGGGAGAGTGCGGTGCTGATAACACCAAGGCCACGGGTTCCTATCCTATATAGGGATGGCTGGTTAGCTCACTGGCTGAGCGTGGTGCTGACAACACCAAACCAAGGGTTAATATCCCTTTACCAGTCAAAACAAAAACAAACAAACAAAAAGACAAAAACAAAAAAGAAACAACATTCAGGCTGCATAAGAATTACTGGATGGTTATTGAACCCAGATAGGAAGCTATTTCGTGATTCAGGAGAGAGGGGATGGTGGCCTGAACTAAGGCATTGAGAATAGATGAAATGTATGAACTATTAAAGAGAATTTACAAAACTTGCTGAATCCATAATATACAAGGCACTCAAACAATTATATAGTAAAAAAATAAATAACCCAATTAAAAAATGGGCAAAGGAGCTGAATAGGCATTTTTCAAAGGAAGACATACAAATGGCCAACAGGTACATGAAAAAATGCTCATCATCACTAGTCATCAGGGAAATGCAAATTAAAACTACATTGAGATACCACCTCACACCAGTTACACTAGCTATAATCAAAAAGATGCTGAATAACAAATGCTGGCGAGGGTGTGGAGAGAAGGGAAAACTCCTACACTGTTGGTGGCACTGTAATTAGTACAACCACTGTGAAAAACAGTATGGAGGTTTCTCAAACAACTACAGATAGATCTTCCATACGATCCAGCAGTCCCACTTCTGGGTATATACCCAGAGGAATGGAAGTCATCAGGTCAAAGGGATACCTGCATTCCCATGTTGATCGCAGCTCTGTTTACAATAGCAAAGACATGGAACCAACATAAATGGCCATCAGTGGATGACTGGATAAGGAAACTGTGGTATATATACACTATGGAATACTACTCAGCCATAAAAAAGAAAGAAATTCTACCATTTGCAACAACATGGATGAGCCTGGAGAAACTTACGTTCAGTAAAATAAGCAAAGCACAGAGGGATAAATACCGCATGTGCTCACTCCTATGTGGGAGCTAAGAGAGAAAAAAGGAAGGAAAGAAAGACCACAGTAGTGCATTGGACTTCCAGAGTAAGAGAACATTCTTTGGGCTACAAAGTGGAGTCGGGGGGAAGGGATGAGAGGGAGGGAGGTTGGGAATAATTGGGTGGGGGACATGGGGTACAAATGCAATTTGTGGTAATGGGTATACAACCAGTATGAGTCTGGCCCCCACATCATGGGGATGAGGGGTGACAATCAGCTTTGTATCTCATGGATATTCATAACCAATAAAAAAAAAATTGGCCACAATAATCAACCACATTGTATATTGACAAAATAAAATAAAATTAAAACAAACAAACAAAAAAAAATCTTGCTAAAGTGGTTAAGAGCATAGAGTCTGTAGCCAGATTCTCTGGGTTCAAATCTTGTCCCCACTACTTAATAACTGTATCATTGTAGGCATATTGTTTATGCCTCAGTTTACTTATTTGTAATAATAATTATTATATTCACAAAGTTGCAGTGAAGATTAAATTAATTTCTACTGGCAAAATCCTTAGAACAATGTCTGGTGGCACGTAATGAAGAGTTAAGAAATATTAGCCTATTTTAAAATTGATATTTGATTAGATGTAGTGGATAAGGGAAAAAGAAGAATCAAAGATGACTTCGTTTTCAGACTTGGGCAACTGGGTGAATGTGATACCTTATTTTGAAGTAGAAAATAGGAGAGGTTTTTGGGGATGCGGAATGATTGCATTTTCTGGAAAGTTGTCTTAGAGGTGCTTGTGAAGCATCCACGTAGACATACAGGCTGTGGTGTGTTTAATATCTCAGGGAAGATATCTAGGCAGAGGTGTGGATCTGGGAGCCTTTGGTAATTGATGCAATGGAGGAGACTGGGACTACTCAGGAAGTGTCCGTAAAATAAGAAGGTGGCTCAGAACAGACCACTGCCTGGTAGGCAGTGGCAAGAGCTCAGGAGAGAATTGAACCCAAAGCTCATGTTCTTTTTGTTAGACCACAAGCTGCTTCTCCGCAGTTTTTTGATCTCTCATGTGTCAATAAAATTTATTTCACAAATATTTGATCCTGTACTTTTTGTCAAGCACTTTAATATACCTCAGTGAGCAATACCAACACGGTCCCTGTCCTCACAGAGTTTAGTCTAGTTACAGTCTAGTGAAGGAGAAGGACAATTACAATTCAGATAGGTAAGCGATGTTATAGCTACAGAGTACATCTCTGTGCCCAGGAGCACCTAACCCAGACTTGTGGTGGGGGTGAAGGAAGGCTTTCTTTTTTTCGTTGTGGTTGTTGTTGTTGTTGTCGTAATTTATTCATTCATTCATTCATTCATTTATTTTAGATATACTTTTTTTTTTTTTAAAGATGACCAGTAAGGGGATCTTAACCCTAGACTTGGTGTTGTCAGCACCACGCTCAGCCAGTGAGCAAACCGGCCATCCCTATATGGGATCCGAACCGGTGGCCTTGGTGTTATCAGCACCATACTCTCCCGAGTGAGCCACAGGCCGGCCCCTTAAATATACTTTTTATTGATTATGAATATTCATGACATACAAAGCTGATCATTACCAGTCAGGCCCAAGATGTGAAGGCTAAATTCATGCTGGCAGCATACCCATTACCACAAATAGCATATACCCCATGTCCCCTGCCCAATTAGCCCCAACATCCCTCCTCCTCCCCCTTTACCACCCACTTCACTTTGTAGCCCAAAGAATGTTCTTTCCTTTTTTTTTTTTTTTTTTTTTCTTTTTGTCTTTTTTTGTGACCGGCAACGGATCGCAACCCTCAGTGTCGCACCCGTACCGGACCGGGACCGGCAATGGGATCGCAACCCTTGGTGCCGCGCCCGCACCTTGCTCAGCCAGTGAGCAGCCGGTCTGTATGTGGGATCCGAACCCTCAGCGGGAGCGCCACGGCGCTCCCAAGCGGCGCACTGTAGCAGTGCACCACCGGGCAGGCCCCAAAGAATGTTCTTTCCCTCTCCAAGTCCAGCACACCACTGTGGTCTGTCTGTCCTTCTTTCTCTCTTAGCTCCCACATAGGAGTGAGTACATGTGGCATTTATCCCTCTGTGCTTTGCTTATTTCACTGAACATAAGTTTCTCCAGGCTCATCCATGTTGTTGCAAATGGTAGAATTTCATTCTTTTTTATGGCTGAGTAGTATTGCATGGTATATATATACCACAGTTTCCTTATCCAGTCATCCATCGATGGACATTTATGTTGGTTCCATGTCTTTGCTATTATAAACAGAGCTGCGATGAACATGGGAGTACAAGTATCCCTTCGACCTGATGACTTCCATTCCTCTGGGTATATACCCAGAAGTAGGA